GCATTTGACAAAACCTAACACCATTCATTCTGGTAAAAAGAAACTCATCAGAATAAGAATGGGGAAGCACCTTCAACCTTATAAAGCATGTCTACAAGCATAGCACACATTATTCTTAAGCAAAGAATAACAGCCTACATTGTTCTTAATGATGAGAAACTAGGTCTTGTTCCCTTATATTGGGAATAAGGCAAGGATGAACCACTTCACCACTTCTATTCAATATTAAATTGAAAATCCTAGCTAGGGCAATAAGAAAAGGAAACAGAGGGTATATATATTGGGAAAAGAGAAATAGAACTGTCTTTTTTCATAGATGACATGTTTGTCTATGCAGAAAAATCCCAAAATATCGACAAAAAAATCTCCTGGAACTAGTAAGTGATTACAGCAAGGTTGCAGGATCACAGGTTAACATATAGAAGTCAATTGCTTTATTATATGCAAACTGAGCAATTGGAGTTTAAAATACAATACTATTGCCATTAGCACCAAAGTACTCAGAAGTACATAGGTATAAATCTAACAAAGTATATACAAGATCTGTATGATGAAGATGACTACATTCTGATGAAGGACATCAAAGAATATCTAAATGAATAGACAGATTCCATATTCCATATAGATAGGAAGACTCAACATTGCAAAGCTATCAGCTCTTCCCAACTTCCTCTATAAATTCAGTGCAACCCCAAGCAAAATCCCAACAAATTGTTTTATGTCTATTGATAAACTAATTCTAAGGTTTATATGAAAAGTGAAAGATACAAAATACCCAATACAATATGGAAGAACAACAAATTCATTGAACTGCCCCTAAATTGACTTGAATTCTTACCAGATGTAAAGCTACAGTAATCAAGACTCTGTGGTACTGATGATGAGAACTTTCAATTTTTCTGTAAACCTAAAATCGCTCTGAAAATACTCTGTTAATTAGAAAAACACAAACCACTTCATCATGAATGGACCAATAGTTGCTACTTTTGATGAAAGACTAGTCCAGTGAGGCCATACATTAATTATATTATCCTGACAGAATAACATAACTTTGGTGATACCGTAAAATAGGCATTAATGTAGTAAGAGATTAATTTATGGACTACCTACATGACTATTAAATTCCATGAGTAATGAATAGCTGAACCACTCTTGAGTGTTGCTTTGGATCAAGTCAGAGGGAATGTGAAGGCCAGCACATACCCGAATACCAGCTTAAAGCTCACAGGCCTTGTAAACTGATCCTCTTCACCTCAAAACACCTAGGTGTCCATGTGTCTTATTCTAACCTGCTCCCCCTTTAAGATATAGGAAGAATATTAAAAGGCAAGCTCGTTATAAATATGCTTACAGAGTGTGATCCCCTGCTCAGCAGGCTTCAAACAAGTAGTAGATCAAATGCCAGGTAAGCTCTCAGATGGTATATAAATTAGACTCTTTAAATATAAAGTCGTCAGCCTCAGAGTAATTAGTGTCATCGTTGTCCTGGTCTTAAGTTCTTGGTCTCTTCCATGTTTGAATAAAGTGAGCAATGAAGTTCACCCAAGGTATAAGGCAATTGATTTCACAGGCATTGTAGTGGCTACCCTTTGGTAACTGAAAGAATCCTTAACGAGCATGGCAGAGTGCCGCCCATCTGCAATATTGGTAGAAACTGCACCTGGAAACAGTGAAGCAGGGTCATAGGGCACAGGACAAATCTCCTTTAATTTTATGCCCATTAACTATACTTTTATATATCCTTCCTTATAACTATTACATTCATATCTGATCCAGTATCCAATTAAGTTACTATAAACCCTGAAAGAGTCATCCGAGGATGTTTTCTGTGGCAGTGGCAGGTAGGGTGGGCATGTCTCTCCTTCAGGAGATTAACCTTAAAGGATATGGATGAAAACTAACACCAGATTCACATAATAAACCATTAATAGACATATCTAATGATCTATAAAACTTTTGTAGTGTGAATCTGTATAACCTAGTTTGAAGGAAAAATTCTCATCAACTAATACACTCCGAAGCACCAATTAAGATAAAATTGTCCTAAATCATTTAGCACTCTTTTTAGCAAGAAGTAATCTTTCTTTTCTTGTACTTAAATATTTTCAATTGATATGTATTCTCTTTCCAATTTTATTTTGGTAGAGTTAAACTTATCAGTTAAAAAATTAGTTTTATGAATAGCTCTGGCATCAATTAACTATTTATATTCGTACTTTCTAAACCTATTCCACTCTGCCTTTCCTGAGGCAAAGCAAGCAGATTCACATACTGTTGTAAGGGTACAAATGCACCATGATTTTACACAGAGTGAAAATACTTACGTCTTGCTCCTAATAGCTTGTTGATTCCATAATATTTTATCCTGAAATACCAGTTAAGTATGAATGAGTACATCTAATAACAGTCCAATGTGAAGGGTCTACCAGGTTAGCTTATTCCTAGTTTATTCTAAGTTACTGGACTCATTCCATCAAAAATCCTTTGGGTTTCAGCAGCTATTTCTCTAAAAATGAATTACTCTGGGTAGCTACTATTTCTTAATTATTAGACATAGAATTTGTTCATGCAGATGTTGTATTGCCTGATAACATTTAACAATAAAAAACACAGTTTTCTCCAATTTGGTAATTTAGGACCTATCAAAGACTTTTTTAAAATTCTGATTTGGGAATACTCTAGCCCACCCAATATAAGACCACTTTAAGTATTGATTGAGCCCAGTGTGCTTTTTTGTGGTCTGAATTGGCTAATTTGTATATTTTTCCTCAAGACTTTGTTGTTTGGGGTATATATTTGCTTTTCTTTTAAATGGCCACACAAAATAAAATGCTTATTTGTTTGGAAATTAATTAGAGACAGCATCTGAGTAGATAAGTAACACCTGAAAATGGGTAACCATATTAATATCAAGGAAGACAATCAATGGCCAAATTAGAATAAAATCCCCAAAATTACTCAGAAATAAGATATATTTGAATTTCGTGACAGATATATACAAAAAGTTAACAATGGACACCTGTGGAGAGAATGACTGAGAATATCCATTTAACTATTTAAAAATAAGAAACATGTAGTATTTTAATATTTTAAAATGTAAATTCCCATCAATTTATTCTAATTGCAATGGAAAACCACTTGTAAGCAAGGTGGTAACTTGGTCTGATTAAAATATCTCTCTACTGTTTGGACAATGGATCAGAGGAGGTCAGGAGAGGAAACACAGAAGCAGGGAGACCATATAAAAGACCACTGGGACAGTCCAGGCTAGAGATGATAGTGGCTTGGACTATGTTGGTGGCAGCAGAGATGAGAAGAAGAGGCCAGAGTAAAGATAGATGTTTCAGAGGTAAAACCCACAGAATTGGTGATGAATTCATTATGGGCAATAAAGAACCAAGGGAATCAAGGAAGCCTTCTAGATTTCTGTCTTGATCAACACAGTGGGTGGTATGCCCATGTACTGTAATGAGAAAGAAGTTCAGGGATTGGGGAAACAGCTATTATGGCAGCACGAGTGGCGGAATACTGCAGATGCCCGTCACACTACCATAACAGATGAACTTGGGTGATTAATTTGGCCAGAAGTTATGGTCAAAATGTTCATAAACAGTCAGGGCTCAGTTTTAAAAATTAAGAAGATTCCCTTAACCAGTTTCATCAATGCAATACCAGTAATAAATAGTAACACATTTCCTTTTGTTTTTGTTTTAGATTTTTAAAATCAACATTTGGTTTTCTTCTTTGACTAGGTCAGTGGTTTTGAGTTACATAACCATATATTTTTCTTGTTTATTTGTGCTTACACTTACCTTAGAAACTAAGTTTCAGTAGTTTTCAAAAGTTCACACTCTCTTTAATTTACTAGCTCTGCAAGTCTGACTATAATCTATGAAGTCTCGCATGATTTAAACCTGGATACTTATGGAGCCTCATGATAACTAAGATGTGCTCATGTCCTTCCTACAAAAGTCCCAGATTTACACAGCCAACAATGGAAGTCACATGTTTCCAGGGGAAGGTCAACATCTTTGGCATTTCCTGCCTGCTATGGTTTGACAGATACTCACTTTGGTTTTTGTTTTAAACAAAGTTTAAAACAAGGAATTTTTTCAAATAGCTGGTTTACCTCAGGGAAGTGGCAAGGTGAGTTTTCTTAAGCATGTTTTATTTATTCACTCTTTTTGACCACTACACTTTTTCTCATTCTGTAGATGTTTTTAAACTCCTATTACTTTGTCCATCTCAATGAGCTTCAACACAAGTTATGCTCAGCATGGTGTAATGGGAAGCAAGGACCTTGGACACAGCAGAACTGGTTCCCTATCAGGTACAAATGTCATCTCCACTATAAAGATGGGAAACTGAAGGACAAAGAAGTTAAGTTAAGTTTTCCAAAGTAACACTACGTGTAATGTAGAGCCAGGATTTCTAGCAGGATTTTCAGCATTTCAAAGTCCAACTTTGGAGGCCATGGTATTTACAGCTATGCCCTGCTGCCTCGAATTGACTGTTACAATTATTTCTGGTAGGCCCTGAAGTAGACAACCCAGTCACATAACATCCCAGAACACAAAATCATGACTTGATCCCACGCTCAAAGAAAGCATGACCTCTGGTCTCATTTTACCATATTAATCTGCTTCCCATGGAAGTGGAAACACATATATGCAATGTACAATTCTTCAAACCTTTCAGAGTAAAGAAGAGGTTACATTAAATAGTCTAACCATTAGATTGTAATGCAGAGACTTAGATACTTACAGGTGAACAATTTGGCGGGCTTAATTGCTCTTCTGAAATGGCCTGAGATCAACAACACCAAAGTTAACTGTTCAAGCAATAGCACTATTCAAGGTCAGGCTGCCATGATGGGGCCAGAAACACAGATATCAAGGTGATAATGGATAGGGTCGAGAGGGATCCGAGATGGCAAACGGGAAATAAAGTCTGGATATAAGCCTCTAGATGGGAATAGAGCTCGTAAAGGATTCACATACCCGAATTTTGCTGAGTTTTCCTCTTCTTCCCGGAGCTTAAGTGTCTTTCGTCCTGAATTCTAAGAGAGAGAAAAATGACAACTGAATAACAATCTTTACCTTTACCCTAGCACCCTTTACACACACACACACACACACACACACACACACACACACACACACACACACAAACACACACCACCCTTTACAAATGTTAAAGATGTATATAACTCTGAAAAAATTCACAACCACTTCAAAAAACTTTCTAAGAGTCTCAGTGGTTATTTTCATACCTGTTTTTTGAACACTTTTAAAGTCTTTGAGACTTTTCTCACTTAATCTGAATATATTTTTACCTTACCTCATTCATCATGCTAAGATGTAAGCTTCTGATAAACTCAAATACAAATGCCATAATATGCCAAATATGCCAAAATGAAAGACAGGGAAACAAGGAAAGAAAAACATAGTTTCCATAAGTCTCACATGATTTGGTGCACATAGGTCAATAAAAAATAACTGAATCTTGAAATTTTCCATGTTGAGAAATGTGTGCATTGGGAAAACATTTTAATGTCTAAAAATGTTCATTACTACAACTTACATACCTCACCTACCAGTCTTCACTGTGGTAATATTACTATTAACTGTTTTTGTAATTCATCTTACAGGTCTTCCTTTTTCTTGATTCTAAACTATATTATAATGCTAAATTTTTAAATTTTAAAAACACTAAATTCTAACCTTATAGTAAAATATAATTCTCCCAATTTCTTGTTTTCTCTACGTGTGTGTGTTTGTGTGTGCGCGCAGTACGTGCGAGTGTTTTCAGGAGTTCCTAAATATTGATTTCCATTTTGAATGCCAATTTTTAAGTATTTACAAACATTTATGGAAATACATTGTTTCTCCATGTTGTAGAGAGTCATTGAATTGAAAAAGAATGTAGCTTTGGTTGTGAATGGAATTTTTGAAGGTTTGGAGTTGGTGTCCAATTGCTACCTACACTAGCCAGGTATTGTTATACTGTCAGGAAGTAAAGAAAAGAAGCTTCTTTCACACTTCCATTTGTTGGAAACAGGAAAGGCAAACCATAGTAACAAGTACAAAAAATGACCTACACAAAATAGAGCATTGACAATACATAGAAATCGCAATGGAGAGAGACTATGTTTCTTATCTGCTTCTGTCAGGAATGTGTGTAAATGGAGCTGTCAGCTGTACCTTTCTGACAAGGTGACCGCTCACTGCCCAAATCTATGGGATTACAGTTAGTAAGTTCCACAGAAATTTATATCTTGATATGGAAAACATTTCCCTCACGAAAATATATTAATTCCCTTCAATGTGGTTGCACTGTCTAAAACTACAAGAGGCACAATTTCATATTTTTACATCCTCTTGGATTAAGGTTTTGTTTTATATATTTATGTAATCTATAAATGAGAATCAAGAAATCTTCACTACCCCCTGTTATGTCCACTCACTTCAAAGTGGATTATGAGCACATTCATTTAAGAAAAGAGAAAGTAAAAAAGAATTATTTAGGCATATGATGCTACAAACCACAAACCATTTCTAGACTTCCTAAGCAGGGATTGTTAGCAAGCAGTTTCACTGATAATCTTGTAAATTATGCTTCTCAGAGTACTTTCAGGAACAACTATTATGTGTGAGGCTTTGAGCAATTTACTTTTCAGAATTTCAGTTTTCCATTTTATAAAGTGGAGTAAATGACAGAATTTGTATGAGGTGCAAATGAGAAAAAAGATATGAAAACATTTGGTAACTCCAACGCCCCAAATACAATGGCCTAAGCCCTTCCATTGGTAGGAAGAATTACCACAGAATGCATAACATATAGGTGGTTGCTAAAATGGAAAAAGAAAACAAGGGAGGGTCATTGACCCACATGCCCTGTTTCAATTTTAATTAAGAATGAACTTAAAATTAGAAAAAGTTATTAAAAACAGCACGTGGTCTAAAAAGAAACACCCTATCTATATAGATGTTAAAGAGAGAACCAAACACCTCACAAGAAAGCTATAGAGGCCTACTTACAACTGCATTAGAAAATTTTAGCTATAAAGATTTTAACTGATTTTAAGGAAACCTTTAGACAAACTAAACAATTATGAACTTTATAATTTGACTCATCCATATGTTTCATCTTATACAAATAGAGTTTTAAAATAGATATAATTTTCTACATTTAAGGGAACAATAAAGGCAATCATTCACCACCAACGCCACTTACACTCACACGTTTATTTTACTATAATTGTTGCTCATTTATCAGATGATTGATATACAGGACTATGCCTATCAGGTAGTATTTTACACATCTGAAGAAGGTAAGACAGTACGCTTGAGAGATGTAGAAACAGGCTCAGAAGTCATAAACAGGTCAAAGTTATTGCCAGAGCTATGACTACAATAGTAACATATATTTTATAGTACTAAATGTCTTATAAAACACTAAGATACAATTTGTATTGCAGAGGTTCTGTATACCCTTATGACAATTTAAACTTTGTTTCCTTATTCACCTACAAATATTTATTACTGGGCCCTGAATATACAGCAGTGAATAAGACATCAGATCCTGCTCTCATAGAGCTGCCTCTCAAGTCGTAAAAGGCCCGAAATGCCTAAAGTCAAGTCAACAGGTTCCCTGTCATCCTATCATCCCATCCCCTAAGATAACTACTGTCAATAACTTGACACCCTCTGCTTTCATACTTTTTCTTTTCCTTATATAAGCATATACATATAGATATTTGATTTTGATTTATACAAATGTGTGATCATACTATATATGTTATTAACACTGGGTTTATTCCCTTCTTAACAAAACATTGAGGACATTCTTTCAAGTACTTACATATAAATTTACCATATCCTTTTCAGTAGCTTGGTCATATTCCATTGCCACAATACCATATTATTGCCTCATTTTCCTACTGATAGATCTCATGGGCACATCAAGTTTTACTATTGCAACTACATGGAAATAAATACCTTAGTCAAGTCTCCTTCATAGAGATAATATATTTGTTCAGGGAAACTCTCCAGAATGAGACTCAAAGGGGATGTGAGTTTATAGTTTCAGAAACAATGCTGGATTATTTCCCCAAAATGTTAAGTAATATATGTCCTAGTAACATTGTTATCAATAATTATAACAATACAAGAATCACAATAGTTAACATTTATTTAAGACTTATAATGCCAGAAACTATGGCATACAATTTTGGCATAATCAATTACAAAATAGTTCTGAAATGCGGAAACATTATCATCTCCATATTTATAAATGAAGAAACAGAATCAGAAATAAATTTAACTGGCCTAAGATCACAGCTATTATTTAAACTCATGTAATTTTGCTCGAATTCATCTTCTTTTACCAGTTATTTGACATTTTTTATCAATATGATGGAGAAAAAAGTTATTTTACCGTTGTTTTAATTTTCCTGTTTATTATTAGAGGAGTTTAGCATTCTTGGTGTTTTTTATCTTCATTCCCTCTACTATGAACTGCTTGTTTATATTTCCACCCATTTGACATACGATTGGTTGTTTTATCGATAATAATTTGTAGGTGACTTTTGAATATTTATTATGATAAATATTTACAATGAAAACACTTTGTTTTGTGTTGCAGTCAATTTCTCAAATTTACTTTTCTTTTGACTTGAATGATGCTCCCTTTTGCCATACAGATACATTTTTTAAATCAAATTTTTTTCATTTGTGGCTTTTGGAATTCTTGTTTTCCCCAAGAAGGTCTCCTCTATCTAAAGAGTATGTAAATATTACTCTACATGTCCCTATAATATTTGATTTGATTTTTAAAGTTCTCTTTAATTCACTGCCAATTAGTGCATAAATGGTGTGAGGTTAGGTTCTACTTTTATTTTCTGAAATAATTAGCCGGTTACCCCAAACAATTGTTTCAATTTACAACCATTTTCTATATGCTCTTTTAATAAATACGTAACTCTCTTCTCTCTTTTTCACCTGTGCTTTGAGATTCTGATATGGCATTGCCCATCCACTCCCACCCTCCCTGGGTCTGGTTGAATATTACTCTTGTAATATAAATAAAGATAACACTATAATGCGTGTAATCTCAAGAGCCATAGACAATGGAAGAGGAAAATGATATTTTAGGTCCAGAGACCACAGTACCTCTTCTTCATCTGTAAGGGAAGAGCTTTCTCTTCGTCGTCTTCTCGAACCTTTAACCTTGCCATTGGTTGAGTTCGTTTGGAAGCTCATTCTAATGATACTCCAATGCCAACAGAAGAATATTAAAAATCTGCCTCAAGAAACATAAGAACTGTAAGATTTCTTTGTTTAACAAATCTCCTAAAATTTCAAAAGATATCTGTTATAGAAACTAAAATTACATGTGTTCTAAGTAGAAAGACTTGATAAAAAGGACACACTACAATAGAAGAGGAAGTATTTCACCTTTGTTGGTAAGTTTCTCACACTGTGTAGTCAAAAACAGTGACGAAAACTTTCTTCACACTATGGCATCTGCAAGTCAACTACATTTGTTTGAAATTCTACTCTCGAGGATTTCTCTTTATCAATCACAAAATGTAGCAATTATTGGCACTTGTGTTTCTTATGGTATAGAGTATAATGCCTCAGGAAAAATATGAAAGTTATTAAAAACAGCATGTGGTCTAAAAAGAAACACCCTATCTATATAGATGTTAAAGAGACAACCAAACACCTCACAATAAAGCTATAGAGGCCTACTTACAACTGCATTAAAGAATTTTAGCTATAAGTATTTTAACTGATTTTTAAGGAAACCTTTAGACAAACTAAACAATTATGAACTTTATAATTTGGCTCATCCATATGTTTCATCTTATACAAATAGAGTTTTAAAATAGATTTAATTATCTACACTTAAGGGAACAATAAAGGCAATCATTCACCACCAATGCCAGTTACACTCACACGTTTAAAAATATTTTTAAGAATATTATCTTGGCTCAGGAGCCTTTGGTATAGCAATATCATCACATATATAATTTTCTTCCCATTCTCAATTTTTCCTACTGGAATTATTACAGGCATTTTAAAAGCTAACTTTAGAGGACATTTTGTGAAATTCCTATGATCAGTATTTTTCGGGAGTTTTTTTAAGACACCATGGAAAAACAAAAGGTAATAAAAGGAAACAAAGAAGCAAAAGTCCAGTCACACATTCATGACATTTATTTTTCTCTCTGAGGACTATAGCTAAACTTTACGTGTTCCTAGCTTAATACAGACAGATTTTCAGCATCAAGGAGTTTTAATTTTATCTGTAACAAAATCTCCATCTTCTAGGTTTAGTTTCGGGAAAATTCTCCTCAGACATTGGTGTCTGTCTTGACCTGGTGTAACTTATGTGAATTCATTTTTTTAATTTGGTCCCGAGATTCCTCCGCATTCTGCAAATGTCATAAAAAGGTTTTCCGTGTATTACTTTATCCCTTTATGAAAAGCTTTAAGCCCATCACTCTCCTCACATTGTGGATCGGCACCTTCCTTTCGTCGACCTACTAGGACTTAAACTAAGCAAACAGTTAAAAATATGCTCAAGTGTTTATTAAGTACCAGTTCATTAACCCTGTATCATCAACTATTGCCAAGAGAGGAAGGATTTTTATCTTAGTTAAAGCAATAAATTATAATATTTTTACTTTCCCTCTTACCAGTGACAGAGCCGCCTTTCAGCTCTGTCGACACTGCTAGAAATGACCCTTCATCGTTTTTCTGGGCCTAGGCTTTTCTCATTGGTCAATAAAATGTGATTGGCATAAGCTAGATGCCTATCTATGAAAAGCTAGACGCCCATCTTTAAAAAGCCCTATAAATAGCATCACACCCATGAATCTCCTCAGAAACTTAAGTGTGGACCTGCACTTTACTTTTGTCGACCTACTAAGTCTTAAACTAACCAATCAGTAAGAAACCTGCTCAAGTCTTTATTAAGTTACCAGTTCATTCACCCGGTATCATCAACTATTGCCAAGTGAGGAAGGATTTTGATCTTAAACCAAAGAATTATAATATTTTTACGTTCCCTCTAACCGGTGACAGAGCCGCATTTCTGCCGTTAGGGACCTGGTAAAAAATGCCTCTTCAGCTCGTTTTTGGTACTAGGCTATTCTCATTGTACAATAAAGTGTGATTGGCACAAGCTAGATGGCCATCTACAAAAAGCCCTACAAAAAGCTTTATGCCCATCAATCTCCTCAGAAGCTCAAGTGTAGATCGGTACTTTCCTTTCATCAACATACTAGGACTTAAACTAAGCAAGCGGGAAAAAACTCCTCAAGCCTTCAGTAAGTATCAGCTCATTCACCCGGTATGATCAACTATTGCCAAGAGAGGAAGGGCATTTATCTTAGTTAAACAACTGAATTAAAATATTTTTACATTCCCTCTTACCAGTGAGAGAGCCGCCCTTGGGCCATTATGAGCCTCCTAGAAACGCCCCTTCAGCTCGTTTCTGGTCCTAGGCTATTCTCACTGGTCAATAAAATGTGATTGGCCCAAGCTAGATGCCCATTTATAAAAAGCTAGACACCCATCTACAAAAAGCCACAAAAAATTCTTACACCTATCAATCTCCTCAGAAAGTTAACTGTGGATAGGCACATTCCTTTCGTCGACCGACTAGGACTTAAACTAAGCAAGTGGTAAAAAAACTGCTCAAGTCTTTATTAAGTCTCAGTTCGTTCACGAAGTATCATCAACTATTGCCAAGAGAGGAAGGATTTTTATCTTAGTTAAAACAATAAATTATAATATTCTTACTTTCCATCTTACCAGTGACAGAGTCACCTTTCAGTCATTACGAGCCTACTAGAAACACCCCTTCAGCTCCTTTCTGGTCCTAGGCTTGCTAAATGGTCAGTAAAATGTGATTGGCATAAGCTAGATTCCCATCTATGAACAGCTAGACGCCCATCTATAAAATCCCTATAAATAGATTCATGCCCATCAACCTCCTCAGAAACTTAAGTGTGGACCTGCACTTTCCTTTTGTTGACCTACTAGGTCTTAAACTAAGCAATCGGTAAAAAATCTGCTCATCTTTATTAAGTATCAGTTCATTCACCCAGTGACAGAGCCGCATTTCTGCCGTTAGGGACCTGGTAAAAAATGCCTCTTCAGCTCGTTTTTGGTCCTAGGCTATTCTCATTGTTCAATAAAGTGTGATTACCATAAGCTAGATGGCCATCTACAAAAAGCCCTACAAAAAGCTTTATGCCCATCAATCTCCTCAGAAGCTCAAGTGTAGATCGGTACTTTCCTTTCATCAACATACTAGGACTTAAACTAAGCAAGCGGGAAAAAAAACTCCTCAAGTCTTCAGTAAGTATCAGCTCATTCACCCGGTATGATCAACTATTGCCAAGAGAGGAAGGACTTTTATCTTAGTTAAACCACTGAATTAAAATATTTTTACATTTCCTCTTACCAGTGAGAGAGCCGCCCTTCGGCCATTATGAGCCTCCTAGAAACGGCCCTTCAGCTCGTTTCTGGTCCTAGGCTATTCTCACTGGTCAATAAAATGTGATTGGCCCAAGCTAGATGCCCATTTATAAAAAGCTAGACGCCCATCTACAAAAAGCCACAAAAAATTCTTACACCTATCAATCTCCTCAGAAAGTTAACTGTGGATAGGCACATTCCTTTCATCGACCGACTAGGACTTAAACTAAGCAAGTGGTAAAAAACTGCTCAAGTCTTTATTAAGTCTCAGTTCGTTCACGATGTATCATCAACTATTGCCAAGAGAGGAAGGATTTTTATCTTAGTTAAAACAATAAATTATAATATTCTTCCTTTCCCTCTTACCAGTGACAGAGCCACCTTTCAGTCATTATGAGCCTATTAGAAACGTCCCTTCAGCTCCTTTCTGGTCCTAGGCTTGTTAACTGGTCAATAAATTGTCATTGGCATAAGCTAGACTCCGATCTATGAACAGTTAGACGCCCATCTATAAAATCCCTATAAATAGATTCACGCCCATCAACCTCCTCAGAAACTTAAGTGTGGACCTGCACTTTCCTTTTGTTGACCTACTAGGTCTTAAACTAAGCAATCGGTAAAAAATCTGCTCATCTTTATTAAGTATCAGTTCATTCACCCAGTATGATCAACTATTGCCAAGAGAGGAAGGATTTCTATCTTAGTTAAACCAGTGCATTATAATATTTTTACTTTCCCTCTAAGCAGTGACAGAGCCACCATTCGGCCGTTACAAGCCTACTAAAAATGCCCTTCCCCTCATTTCTGGTCCTAGTCTATTCTCATTGTTCAATAAAATGTGATTGACATAAGCTAGATGGCCATGTATAAAAAGCCCTACAGAAAGATTTATGCCCAACAATCTCCTCAGAAACTTAAGTCAAGATCGGCACTTACCTTTCGTCGAACTACTAGGACTTAAACTAAGAAAGCAGTAAGAAATCTCCTCAAGTCTTCATTAAGTATCAGTTCATTCACCCGGTATGATCAACTATTGTCAAGAGAGGAGGGATTTTTATCTTAGCTAAACCATTGAACTATAATATTTTTAATTTCCCTCTTACCAGGGACAAAGCCGCCCTTCGGCCGTTACGAGCCTGCTAGAAAGGCCCCTTCAGCTCGTTTCAGGTCCGAAGCTATTCTCACTGGTCAATAAAATATGATTGCCCCAAGCTAGATGCCCATTTATAAAAAGCTAGCTGCCCATCTACAAAAAGCCAAAAAAAAATTTTATGCACATCAATCTCCTCAGAAAGTTAACTGTGGATCGGCACTTTCCTTTTGTCGACATACTGGAACATAAACTAAGCAAACGGTAAAAAATCTCCTCAAGTCTTTATTAAGTATCAGTTCATTCACCCTGTATCATCACGTATTGCCAAGAGAGGAAGGATTTTTATTTTAGTTAAACCAATAAATCAAAATATTCTTGCTTTCCCTCTTACCAGTGACACAGACACCTTTCAGCCGTTACGAGCCTGCTAGAAACGCCCCTTCAGCCCTTTTCTGGTCCTAGGCTATTCTCATTGGTCAATAAAATGTGATTGGCATATGCTAGACTCCCATCTATGAACAGCTAGACGCCCATCTATAAAATCCCTACAAATAGCTTTACGCCCATCAACCTCCTCAGAAACTTAAGTGTGGATCTGCACTTTCCTTTTGTTGACCTACTTAAACTAAGCAATTGGTAAAAAATCTGCTCGTCTTTATTAAGAATCAGTTCATTCAGCTGGTATGATCAACTATTGCCAAGAGAGGAAGCATTTT